ATTACTTCTTGCCCTCACCCACACATTGGCTATTGTCCTTAGAACAAGCGAGCGATTCCGCAGAGGAATTCCCGGAATTGAATTGACACGGAATCAGTAGGAATTCCACGGAATTCCGGGGAAATCAGGAATTGGAAGAAGCGACTCCGGATCCGGAATTGCAAGCAACGATTCCGCAACCGGAATCCCTGACTAGCATTCCTTCTTGCCCTCACCCACACATTGGCTATTGTCCTTAGAATAAGCGAGCGATTCCGCAGAGGAATTTCCCGGAATTGAATTGACACGGAATCAGTAGGAATTCCACGGAATTCCGGAATTGAATTGACACGGAATCAGTAGGAATTCCACGGAATTCCGGAATTGGAAGAAGCGATTCGGGATCCGGAATTGGAAGAAGTGGTTCCGGATGCGGAATTACACGAAGCGATTCCAGATCCGGAATCGGTGCTTGGAATTCCGGAATTCCGGAATTCCGCGGAATTCCGTGCAATTCCTAGCGATTCCGTCTCAATTCAATTCCGGGAATTCCTCTGCGGAATCGCTCGCTTGTTCTAAGGACAATAGCGAATGTATGGGTGAGAGCAGGAAGGAATGCTAGTTAGGGATTCCGAATCCGGAATCGTGGCCTGCAATTCTGGATCCGGAGTCGCTTCTTCCAATTCCGGAATTCCGTGGAATTCCTACTGATTCCGTGGCAATTCAATTCCGGGAATTCCTCTGCGGAATCGCTCGCTTGTTCTAAGGACAATAGCCAATGTGTGGGTGAGGGCAAGAAGGGATGCTACTTAAGGATTCTGGATCCGGAATCTTGGCTTGCAATTCCGGATCCGGAGTCGCTTCTTCCAATTCCGGAATTCCATGGAATTCCTACTGATTCCGTGTCAATTCAATTCCGGGAATTCCTCTGCGGAATCGCTCGCTTGTTCTAAGCACAACAGCGAATGTGAGGGCGAGGGCCAGAAGGAATGATAGTTAGGGATTCCGGATCCGGATTTGGGAGCATGTGGTTCCGGAATTGTGGCAATCGATTCCGGAATCGATTGAAGTTGTGTTTGGATGCAGTTCCGGAATCGTCGGATTCAATTCCGGGCGCGGAATCGATTGCACGATGTTGAACATCGCGGAATAGGATGACTGCTCAGAAAATGATACTTGTCACTGAACTCTAATACAATACATTCTAAACATATGAGATTCACATATTTGCTATATGTAAAAATAAGACATTCGATTAATTTCATTGATTAAGAAGAAAATCATTTATATTTAGAGTAAAGATATGAGTTGACTAGTTAATTCATCACTATAGTTAAGTCTGGAAAAGAAAATTCGAATCATTGCTGCTAAAATTTGTCATATTTTTGAATGATCTATGCTGTAATCCACAACTCGAGGGTGTGAGTAAAGAAGAACTGTACCCACACGCACACCCATACCCACACCCTTTTTCATATGAGTATGACAATTCGCACCGTGTATAAAAATTCTTTTAATTTTTACTTAAAGAAATGAGATAGATTTGGAAAATACATCCTGAGTAATCTGAGCTTTTCAACAGTTTCGCTTTAACTTTTACATGTTTAAATCAGAATAAAATACTTTTTGAAGAGTAAAAATGAAAATTTTCATTATCTTCACTAAAGTACATTGTGGACCAAATATAACTACAATCAAGATAATCATAATGTCAGATAGTCCAAAGTATTTACTTTTAGAATATATGTCACTTCAACTGATATTAATGATTTTTCAGACAGTTTAGAAATGTATTTTGGAGCTTCTTATGAAAAAATATATAAAAAGAAGCACTTTTAGTAAAGAAAAAAAAATGCGATAGCTGACAACACATATTCCATTCCATGCACCTTAACAAATACTTTCGAGATCCCAACCAAAAGGTCTTTGAATCATGGATAAATACCTATACACTGTGTTATGCATGCTAGCAAACCCACTTATAGTCACATGTACATGAGCATATGCTTCTGACTCACTCATACAAAATGTATAACCAAATAAAGATAAGATTGTTTGTACACGTGCGATAAGTTTGAGAATAATGTGTAGAACATTAATGTAAAATAAAACAAATCTTTTTTTTTCTTGTGTGTAAGTTTATGTTTCAATTTATTTTTATTACATAAATAAAGATAAGCGTCAAGGTAAATATATTATTCATATTTAAAACTAAACTTCTCTTCTATTCATCTAAATTGAATAAAGTTTATTCTATTTGTTCATTTATTTTCATTTTAAAAACACTAATTTATTTACAAATAATGTATGTATATATTAACATATTGCTTTTTGTTTATTCCATGTATACACGTTTATATTTATCATAAGAGCGAGTCCCATAGGAAATTGTTCAATTTAAGATATGTTGTAGAGGAAAGAATTTTGATGCAAGCCATTTGAAAAAATATTGTTCTTTTGTCGAGATATTTAAATTTTTTTGAGGACACTATCATCAAAAAAGCACATTTTTTTGTGATATCTATATCTCATCAAGGATACATGTGTTTGAACCGAAATTTTTACTGTGAATAGATATTATGATTTTGTACTATCGAAAAAAACACGAGCTCCAATGGATGAACTACTTAGATTCGTGCAATATTAAATAAAAATATAAAGATAAGGAGATATTTTTCATTTCATTTTATCAAATGTTGAGGATAGTTTCCCTTATTATTTATACCAAGCTTGATTCTTTCTAACAATTTGTTAAAAGTTTTTTTTTTGAAGTCTTTTTCGAAAAAAGTTTCATGGAAGGTAATAGAAAATCATATGCTGATTTATATTGAATAGAGTTTATCTCATATGATGAAATTCTTCGAGTAGTTTCTAAACGACTTCGGGTACATTCTCTATAGAAAAGGGATTATTTTGTCGCATTTTTTAATAAGTCTCTGTAGACTATTCTACGAGATCTCATGTCAATTTTTTTATAACTTTGTAATACTCTGTAGGTACTTTAGAGTCATATGGTTCCCATTTCAATAGGCTCCATTTCTTGAGAAATCGGATCCTATCGAAATTGTGATTTGGTGGAAGGTCTTCTTAGCGATAGGAACTACTTAGAGCGATGAGTATTTTTTAACAGAGTAAGTGCTCAACAAGATCTCTCGATAGCCAAAATTTCAGCTCTCTAACATGATCATTTTATGAGATATCTATATGCACGAAACACTAAAAATGACCATTTTGTCGTGTACCTAGTAGTATTGATCAACTCATCAATAGTTCATCCATTGGAGCTCTTTTCTTTCGATAATATAGAATCATAGTATCTATTCACAGTAAAAGTTTCGATTCAAACGCATTGTATCCTTGATGAGATATAGATATCACAAAAAATGTGCTTTTTTGATGATAGTATCCTCAAAAAAAATTAAATATCTCGACTAAAGAATACTATTTCTTCAAACGGCTTGCATCAAAATTCTTCTCACTACAACATATCTTAAATTGAACAGCCTTTATTGAATAAATTCGGTCGTAGCTTACATAAACTGGCTCATATAACACAAATTTACAAAGTTTCTATTTCATTTTATTGTAAGAATATATCAAAGAAAATACTTGTGTGGAAGATTTAGTCGTATTTGTAAGTGTATCGTATAACTACATCTAACTAAAAAACAAGAAACACTTTCATCTAGTTAGTTGAATGTATGTAGTGCTAGTCGATGTACTTAATGTTAAAGTACATATACCATCCTATTGTACATAAGATTAATGCACCAAGAATCTCAATGTATTATTACGCGATACATATGTAAAGAGTAAATTGACACATCAACGAATGTATCAATCAAATTCAAAGTAGAATCTTTTTTGGGATCTAATGCATTGACTTGAACTAGATATATCTGATGAGTTGATACATCCGCAGGTGCATTGCTTTATACGTTTGTAGCCACATTTAGATTTTTCGCTGGAGCACTTTTGCTTGGGCAATGTTGACATTAAACAAGAAAAATAGACAAAAAAAAATCGCGCATAGCTAATGCTTTAACTGTTAGATCGTTGTAGTTTGTTTTTATGAGTTACTTCTTTCTATACTCAACAAATATTTTTATGTAAAATTTATAATTGCATGATGATCAGTACTGTTTACGAATCATTTTTGAACATCATAAAACATGATCATTAATGATTTCAGTATAACTCTGCAGTTAGGTTTCAAATACAAAGAAAAACTTGTATTAACATGATAATATTTTATTTATTAAATAGTAATCAAAATGCGTTTATTAACAAGAATATTATTTACAATTATATTTATTTTAATGTTTTACTCAACAATAATAGAAGCAGCAAAATGTAGTTGTTCATGTTGTTTTGGTAATTCCTGTAAACCAGAATCATTACCATCATTACAAGTTGATAGCTGTTCTATGTGTGACAGTACATGTAAAACCGTTTATCCATCAAAATGTGGACGAGATACCGGTGTAACAATTGCAGCATGTAGTTCTGGACTCTCTATTGGTGCAATTATTGGTATTATAATTGGAATTATTGGGATAATTGTTATTATAATTATGATAGTTCGATTCTTTATCTGTACACGTCATTCAAGTTATATACAAAGATAGGTTTAAAAAGAAAGAAACAGACAATAAAACATTAAAAATAGAATTTTTTTTGATTTCGAATATTTACAAAATTTCTGTTATTGTTATTGTTATTTTTACTCTTTTTTGCAAAATTAATCATTTTTCATATTAAACTATAATGATCTATCAATATTCAAATTATTGTGTGTGTGTGTATTACCGATTTTTTTTCTTCATTTTGATAAATAATATAATTTTTGTACACGATTTTATATAATTTCAAATATACTCAGAGATTATCTAAGCACAAAAAAGAATCGCCATTTGCGCGGTTATCGGGGACTGAAGTTGACACAAAAAAAAACTGTGAAAAATCGCCTAAAAAAAGTAACAAAATCAGTGCGTAAAACACCATTTTTCTTACAAAATATCTCTTTTTAGTAAAAATAAACTGCCCAGAATTGCCGTTTTTCTTGAAGAGAAGACTACTCTGAATCATGATGTGCGTGTGAGTGTAGGTAAAGAAGAACTGTAACCACACCCACGCCGCCCTTCCATCCGTGAAAAGAAAAAGTTAATAAATATCTTGCAATTTTTATCATTTTCTTGCCTATTCAGTAGTTCTTGAAATTCATTTAGAGACTGACACAGAGGGGTAACAGCGGTCTCCAATAAACTTCAACAGCAGAGACTTCCATTTTTCATGACATTTCAAAAGGTTTTTGCAGATTTTGAGATGGCATGAGCATTCAATAAATTTAGACATTCCATGAAATTTCTAGACGTGGACCGTTTAACTTATAATACACTTGAAATTATGTAAGGGTGTGGGTGTGGGTGTGGGTGTTGTGTCTTCTCCACACCCACACC